CGCGCCTGCTATGAAGGACCTTCGACTCTGCGCCATCCGGTCTCCTGACCCCGACAACGGGATCGAAGTGGATTCAACACCTCTCCTTATGCACCTAGTGAATGCGAGTGTCAGCAACGATGCGCACGCTTCTGGTCGTTACATATCGCTCTCCTCTGTTCGATACCTCAGCCTGTCTGGCATCCACGCACGGTTGGATGTGGTACAAACTTTCCTGTCCCACTCTCCCAACGTCCAGCGCTTGGTCATGACAGATTGCTCGGCGACGTTCCACATGGGCTTCGTGACCACACTCTTCCCGGACGACGCCCTCGAGCGGTACTGGTCTGGTCGCGGTTGCAGCACCATGATGCCCGCGCTGGAGGCGGTGGCCTGTGACAACGGTCCGTACCGCACGAACCTGGGCTTGGCTCGCCCGCTCTATGCGTGCCTCAAGGAGCTCTTTGATCCACAAATGCACCCGCCTGGTCCGGGACGGAACGACCAGCTCCGAAATTTCACGAATCAAGCCGACCGCTACTTGAACGACACTCGAATTTGGCAGCGGCGCCCTGCACAAATTTTGACCGCAAGCGAGCGCACGTTCCCGGCCGACCCTGTTGAGATTGTCATTAGGTACCGCTGGTATTGAATATAAAGGAATAGGCGCCAATGTACATAGATGTAGACTCCGCGAAGGTGGAATGGCGGGCTTCCTCTAGTTACAGTTACGAAGTCATGTGCTTAATGATTCCAGGGCGCTTGCAGCCTGCGCTCGCCTCTGACTCTGACTCTCAACCCAACGACTGAGCCACCAGGAGTTACCGCACCTCTTTGCAGGGATTGTCTTTCAGTTTGTCAATATGCCGACATGACGCGCTGCTATCTGCTGAGAGCATTACAGGCTTTGTTCTCGCAGTCTGCGAAGGATGGGCAAGCTAAACATCGCACACCACAAGTCGTACCATCCCTACCGCCGGGATAATATCGCCCGTGTCAAGCGCGATGAAGAAGAGGCGCGGCTTAACGAGGCAAAGGAGGAAGGGCGCATGATGTTGGCGGTTCGTACCACGTCTCTTGGCTGTGTGGATCAGTGGGCCGGAGCTCATGAGTGGCGGTTACAGGACGCCGAAGCCCGGATATCGCTGCTTCGCGAACGTGCTGGACTGAACGAGAAGAAGCCGAAGAGAGAGGAGGAGGAGCTGATGAAGGCGCTGGAGGGTAGCCGGAGAGCCGAGATTGAGGCGAGCACCAGCGGTTTGCCTACCAGTGGCGGACACATAAACTTCTTCGAGGACTTGGAACAAGTATGTATGCTAGTACCTACCTACCTACCTAGGCTGTCTTCTGCTGCGGCGCGACCTCCCATTTGCCTTGCTTGAAGGACGTACTGCTCACCGACACTCTACAGCAACAAATCTCTGCAGCCCTCGCGTCCGCGTCTACGAAGCACCGCACTCCGAAAGACAAGGCTAAAGAAGCAGAAAAGGAAGACGAGAAAGGCGTTGCCCTCGCTCCCTCGAAGAAAGATCTCAATCCTTGGTACTCCTCCAAATCCCGAGACGTGGAAAAAGAGATTGATGAGGGGCGACGCAACCGAGACCTCGCTCGGCAGTCCGCGGCTGACCCGTTGACGTTCATCAATACCACTCTCTCTTCCCGGTCGGGTTCTTCTTCCTCGATGCCTACCTTACCACCATCTCGGCCGCGCTACAACCGCGATAAACGCCGGCCCACGCCGCCGCCTCCGCCAGCATCCACGAGAGATACTCCGAAGCTGCCGAAAGACTCGGTGACGGAGCGACAGACACGAGAATCGTCGGAGAGGGCGAGAGCGTTGGCGCTCATCGAGCGGAAGAAGAGGGAAATGAGGGGGAGCGAGACGCCGTCGACAGTGCACGGGGGCTACGGAGGGTATCGGGATGTGTTCAATAGGGAGGAAGTCGAAGAGGCTCGGCGAGGCCGAGAACGCGGAGGTGGAGGCGTATGGCGCGATAGGAGATGAGTCGAGGATGGCGTTTCCCAGGCGATGGAGGATGAGGTCGTTGTGTGGTAGCGAGGACCTTGAGCGCCGTGTTCGAGTTGGTGGGTGTTTCTTATCTTCGGCAGCTTGGTTAAAGGAGTGTCTGAGAACGTCCCATAGATGGATCCATTGAGGAGGTCTTCATCGGCACGACGTCTATATGCACGTATGCGGGCAATCGCTCCCAGCAAGATCCACCGTCGTCGGTCAGAATCGCGCTTTCCCCTCCGCCACTCGGCATCTACCTAGCTACTCCCACATGAAATCCATCATGCAATTCATCAGGGACCGCCTTCAACCTCAAATTGCCTATAGCTTGCTTTCTGCGTCATTCCCGTGTCACCTAATCAGGCGTCATGCTCCTTCACCAGCCTCTCCATCGATCTTCGTTGATCCTGCCACATCATGTCAATCCCGCGTCATTCCCGCAAGCCACGCCTTGCTTAGAACAGGAAAAGGTCGATTCAAGACATTCGTGCCTTGTTGCCCGCAAGTGTTCCCCCCCTGGCCCTCAACACGATTCGCCTTCACCTTACACGAATATCGCTGCGCCGGACATCGTGTCCTTCCAGCTCGCGTTCTCAACGCTGTGGTCGACGGCCGTCATCCGTCCGTATATCACAAACGCCTGAAGCACTCGAACCAGACCAACCCGTCTCGAAAACGACAGCGCATCGCGGTTGAAACTGAAGGCGGCCAATGGGACGGTACGGCCGCAGACCGGGCGTCTCGTAGGCCGTACTTAAGGGACGGCTATGACGTAGCTTACGCTGCCCATCGTCCAACTTCCACTACTCACCCGTAGCTAATCATTACGGTACGGCGCAAAGCCACCCATATACACGCACTGTATCTGACTCAGTTACGATCACCTTCCCAGCACATCTCCTCGCTACACGCAACCACGAAATAAACCAAGATGACCGTCACTATGGTCGTTTCGATTCCTGCCTCGGATGCTTACAGGACGAATCCACAAGCCGTCGACCAAGCTTTGGCAGGGATTGCCAAGGCCCCGGGCCTCCTGGAACAGCACAGGGGCGAACAAATCGAACCAGGTCCGGAAGGGACTACCGTCATTTGGATCTTTTCCGGCATGTCTCTTCGGCCACGTCGTAACGCACCACAGGCTCATCGATGTGTTCCTTTCTTCCGCGATCATAAGAATGGGACTCTGCGCAAGCCTACACGGACTTCGCCAAGTCGGAGCTGCACGAGCCGCTCGCCCAGATCGGGCGCGAGCTCGCAGTTCCCTTCGCACCGCCATCTTTCTATCTCTTCCCGTTCCCCGCCTTGAGCGAGACGCGCGAGAAGGGGACCGCCGCGGCGTTAACGCATCCCGTCACAGAGGTGGCCGTACAAAAGGTTACGTCGCCCGAGAACGGTGCACGGCTGGTGGAGATTTTTGGGGTCATCGGGCAGTTCATGGCGGCGTCGGCGTTTGCCAAGGAGGTGAACGACTCGAGCGTTTATGCCGTGGTGGTGGGGTGGCCGAGCGTTGAAGTAGGCGATCCGATCTCAGTTGTTAAAAATCTAGCTGACCGATATGTTGGCAGGCGCATCAGCAAGCGATCGAGGGCAACCCGCAAGGCAAGCCTCTGATCGACGAGATGCAGAGCTTGGGCGAAACGAAGGTGGTGCATGTCAAGCTGAGAAAATTCTGAAAGGATGTCGATATGGATGCGGCCCCGTACATTTAGTGCTATGTTTCAAAATATGATTGCGCGAATGGCCGTTTTATTAATGCCATTCCCTGGCCATCCATATCTGGTCGCTATTGTTTCACGCAGCGAGAACTGCTTAGGTATTTGTATGTTTGGCCACGTAGCTGTCCAGATGAACGCACCGAGTACACTGGACCTGTGTTGTCGGCAAGGTGTGGACTCCTGGTCGCGGGGAGGGATGCGACCCAAGCCGGAGCAAGCAGACACAAACACGGTCAACGCGACGCGCCCGTCCACATGAGACGCGCTTTACGTAAGGCGCGTTCGGGTTGTATATTACTCTCTGCAGCTTGCTGTCTCTGCTATCCACGCCCGCCCGTTCAGCCGCTCCTCCTTCACATAGACCTCTTCAATTGCAATAATGGCTTATGTTTTCAAGAGAGGTGGGCACACCGTTTCTTAGTTCCATATGTCTGCGCGGGCTGACTAACCGAAAAATTGCCGCTAGACGGGTATGTGTTCTAAGGCCTATCTCGCAACGATATACTCAGTCGATGTGGTGGTTGAACAGACGGAAGGAGATCGTACAGTTTGATAAGGTGCGCCATTCGCTAGCTGATCGGTCTTCATGTTGGCTGATTCGTGCGGACCTAGATCACGAAGCGCATAGCGAAACTGTGTTACGGTCTGGACACTGATCATGTAGATGCAGTCGAGTAAGAGCGCTCTTAATTGGCGCCTTATAGTTGCTGATAATTCTCTGCGCTCTGCAGGATTGCGCAGAAAGTCATATCCGGCGTCTATCCTGGAGTCACGACCATCGAACTAGACGTCCGTCATGCCTCGTCCCTACCGATTTCACCCCAGCTAACTCTTTCCTCTAGAATCTTGCTGCAGAGACAGCGGCATACCTTACCACCAAGCACCCCGACTACGCTATCCTCGCTGCTCGCATCGCTGTCTCGAACTTGCACAAGGAGACCAAGAACAAGTTCTCCGAAGTCGTCAAGGATCTGTATGAATATGGTGTGTCACTTCATCGTCGACTTCATGGGCAAAGTTGGCTAAGCAGACGGTAGTGAACCCCAAGACGGGAAAGCCCGCAGGACTGATCTCACAAGAAACCTATGACATCGTCATGGCCAACGCCGCCACTCTGGACTCCGCTGTTGTATACGAACGCGACTTCCAGTACAACTTGTTCGTCCCTATCCTTCCCTCTTGGAACCGGGCTGACCAGTCGACTCAGCTTTGGCTTCAAGACGCTGGAGCGCTCGTACCTACTCAAACTCAACGGCCGTCCCGCCGAACGCCCCCAACACCTCCTCATGCGAGTCGCCGTCGGCATTCACGGCGCCGACATTAAACGCGCTGTTCAGACTTACGACCTCATGTCGCAGAAGTACTTCAACCACGGCTCGCCGACGCTTTTCAACGCCGGGACCCCCCGGCCGCAATTGTCCAGCTGTTACCTGCTCGCGATGCAGGACGACTCGATAGAAGGTATCTATGACACGCTCAAGAACTGCGCGATGATCAGCAAGACCGCGGGTGGTATCGGACTGCACATCCACAACATTCGTGCAACGGGGTGAGTCAATCTGATCGCGCTTTGGTTAAGTCCTGCCTGATGACATTCCTATTCGCAGATCATATATCGCTGGCACGAATGGGTACTCGAACGGTATCGTACCCATGCTTCGGGCATTCGACTCTACTGCCCGGTACGTCGACCAGGGCGGTAACAAGCGCCCCGGCGCATTCGCAATCTACCTGGAGCCATGGCACGCCGACATCTTCGAGTTCATTGACCTCCGCAAGAATCACGGAAAGGAGGAGGTTCGCGCGCGCGACTTATTCTACGCGCTCTGGATACCAGATCTTTTGTGAGTATATTCTTATTGATTTCATTGCTGCGTGAAGCTAACGACGAGGCAGCATGAAAAGGGTCGAGGCTAACGGCGACTGGTCGTTGTTCTGCCCGAACGAAGCACCGGGGCTGCACGAAGTGTGGGGACCTGAGTTCGAGGCCTTGTTTGAGAGGTACGAGAAGGAGGGCAGGGCGAAGAAGACCATCCCGGCGCAGAAGCTCTGGTATGCGATCATGGAGGCGCAGATTGAGACTGGCGGGCCATTCATGCTCTACAAGGATGCGTGCAACTGTCAGTCTTTGCGAGCCTTCTCGTCGCACTCCGCCTGACATCCTCTTCAGCGAAGTCCAATCAGCAAAACTTGGGCACCATCAAGTCTTCTAACCTCTGCACAGAGATCATCGAGTACTCCTCACCAGAGGAGACGGCCGTGTGCAACCTCGCGTCGATGGCGCTCCCCTCATTTGTCGACATGTCTACCAAGACCTACGACTTCAAGAAGCTGCACGAGGTCGCCAAGGTCGTTACCTACAACCTCAACCGCGTCATCGACGTGAACCACTACCCGATCCCGTCCGCGCGTCGCTCGAACATGCGCCACCGGCCGGTCGGCCTTGGCGTTCAGGGCCTGGCCGACACGTTCATGATGCTCCGCATGCCGTTCGACTCGCCTGCGGCAAAGCAGCTCAACAAGCAGATTTTCGAGACGCTGTACCACGCCGCGCTCGAGGCGTCGAGCGAGATTGCGGAGCGCGATGGACCGTACGAAACGTGGGAGGGCAGTCCCGCACAACAGGGCAAGCTACAGTACGACCTCTGGGGCGTGACGCCGACCGACCTTTGGGACTGGAAGTCGTTGAAGGAGAAGATCACGAGGACGGGTCTACGGAACTCGTTGCTGCTGGCGCCGATGCCGACGGCGTCAACCAGCCAAATCCTTGGCTTCAACGAATGCTTCGAGCCGTATACGAGGTAAGCACACACGGGTTCCATTCCCGAATTGATGCTAACGTATGGCTTAGTAACATCTACACTCGTCGTGTGCTCGCGGGCGAGTTCCAAGTCGTCTGCCCCTGGCTTCTCCGCGAGCTCGTCGAACTCAAGCTTTGGGACGACCAGATGAAGAACATGATCATCGCGAACAACGGCTCCATCCAGTCCATCATCGGCATCCCGGACGACGTCAAGGCGATCTACAAGACCGTCTGGGAGCTTTCCCAGAAGGTCGTGCTCGACATGGCCGCGGACCGCGGCGCGTTCATCTGCCAATCTCAGTCGCTCAACGTTCACCTCCAGGCGCCAACGATGGGTCAGCTTACGAGCATGCACTTCTACGGTTGGCGGAAAGGATTGAAGACGGGCATGTACTATCTGCGTACGCGCCCCGCGGCGAACGCGATTCAGTTCACGGTTGACCAGAAGGTGCTCCAAGCGGCGAAGGAGGGCAGGGAAAAGGGAAAACCTAAGGCGGAGGTGTCGGATGCTGCACCGGCAGTCGCGCCGATCGATGCTGCACCTCAATCCCTAGCTGCGTCCAGCACGGCACAGAATGACGTCCCGGCCGAAGCCGTCTCGCTCGACGAGCGCACGCAAGCTGCGGCCGCACAGGATCCTGCGTTCGCCGCGGCGCTGCAGCGTCAGAAAGAGCGCGAGCTGGAGCAGGAGAAGTTAATGTGCTCTTTGGAGAACAAGGATGCATGTGTGATGTGCTCGGGCTGAGGTACCTGTCACTGTCCTACTGTCTCGGCTAGTTATCGCATGCATACCCTTATCGCAATCGTTCATGTGTATCATATGTACTCGTCCCCCTTAGACTTAATGCAGGAAAGCCTCCCCTTTCACCGCATCTGTGAAGGTATCATGCGATTTTATACAGCCTGCCTAATAGGTTATGATCTCGACCCGACGTGCGTATTTGAACGCGTCTCACGCGCGTACGTAATTATGACTAGTTGCACTCGATCTTCTCGCTCCGCAAGCATCGCGGATCTGGGATGCCATCAGGAGTCGATACAGTATACAGGCGCAACTTCTCGCAAAACGAGCATGGTGTGGACTCATAGATCATATGCCCAGCAAACCCGGTGACAGAGTCGTCGTCGCCATCAATGTTGCCTCATACTGCTAGCGTCTTGTCCCGGGGTGGACTCACCGCCGTTTGTAAAGCTCGTCCGCGGCGAACTTGGAAACCGCGGGTGACACGAAGCGTTAGGATGCCTGGACACGCTCCGCGAATGGATGGTGAGTGTCTGCGACGATGAACGTGATTATCGCAGCACACTCACCGAGCACATACAAGCATCATTGCCGATACCATCTTCCGATGTACGATATCGGAGGTTTGAACCAATGTCAGATGACCTGAATAGGAGCAGGGCTGGCTTACGCCATCTTTGCGTAATACACTCTTCCCAATGAGTATGCCCTTGCCCTTGCTGCTATCTTGCCGCGTTGCTTAGATCTATACTGCAGGTACGCCCACAGATAAGCTGTCCGATGCTGAGGCTTCGGTGAATCAAGGATAACCGGGCCAAAACCTCATTATCTAACCCGCCCAACAGGGCAACAGGCATCTGAGCGCTCGCTCAGGGTATCGCAGATAAAGCAGTCGTCCTGCAAGCATGTTTTTGTGGATCGTTTCTCCAGGTGAAGATATGAGATCCGATAGCTCGGCACTCAAGCATGCACGCAGAAGCTAAGCCAATCTTAAACGAAAATGGAACCGATTACGAAGCAGGAGATATGAAAGCCGGCCGGAAAGCTGCAGGCTTTCTGCGAGGATCGCGTGATCCATGTGTGCATATAGGTGCAGATCGCAGCGCTGAGGTACCCACAGAATCGCCCACTGGGTGGCGGTCAGTATATCAAGGTCTTCGTTATCATAGATTACCAACGACCCATGGACCTCACTCTGCTCTTCGTCGCGTCTCTCTGTTCCGCCTTTGTGGCGATCTGGCGATTATACTCTCGCTCAGCGACCAAATGTGCCATTAAGAAACTCCCTGGTCCACCCTCTCCCTCTTTCGTGACAGGTAAGTGTTCATATCTGCACGATCGTGTGCGAATATCTTATCAACGGACCAGGACACATGAAGAAACTATTCTCTCCTTGGGCGTTGGACTACCATCTGATGCTGCCGCGTATATACGGGAGCGCTGTCCGTATCAATGGTCTCATCGGTGTGCGTTATCATCTGCTCAATTCTCGTGCATAAGCTCAAGCGACGGTCACCTGGCTTAGGACGAGCAAATTTACATCACGGACCCGCGTGCCTTGCATCACGTTTTGGTTAAGGATGGACAACTATTCGAGGAAACCTCCGGTTTTGTTGCGTGAGCCTGAATCTGCGGACTCATAGTATGCAGACCGTGCTGATGTGGTGGTACGCAGTCAGAATCGTGCGATATTCGGGCCTGGACTGTTGTCTACCCATGGTGCGCCGTTCCGTTCTCTGCACTGTAGCTCAAGCGGTGATAAACTCTGTCGGGTGATAGGAGAGGCCCACCGAAAGTATGCTCCCTAGGATGAACAATGGAGACGAAGCTCACAAGCTCCATAGACAGCGGAAATTGCTGAATCCTGTGTTTTCTCTTGCTCATATGCGCGGGCTTGCAAGCATATCTCATGAGATTGCAGAACAAGTGAGCACTGCAATACCCGTTTTGATCTGGGGTCTGAACGGTCTCAGCTAGCCGACCGCCTGATGACCAGAACCCAGGATGGAAGCAAGAAAATTGATATGCTACAGTGGATGTCACGGACATCCCTTGAACATATCGGTGTTGGCGGGCTGGGGTACACATTCCAAGCACTAGATGAGGAAGTGGAAAACGAATATGCTAACGCTACCAGAAGCCTCCTGTATGTATCTCATCGAGGCCAAGGTATGACGTGCTCATAATCGTTCTAGGCCCGTCCTTTTTCCGCTCTTGCCCTATCGCATGCTCCTTGTCTTCCTAATCCAGGTATTACCTACGCGACTTCAGCGGTTTTTAGCTGCGAAGGTTCCATCAAAACGCATCGCCAAAATTCGCGATGTCGTTGCGATTATGGATCGCACGAGCAAGGATATATTTACTCATAAAAAGCATGCACTTTCTGCCGGCGAAGAGATGGCTTCTACTCAAACGGGACGAGGAAAGGATATTATGAGTATCTTGTGTATGTTCCGAGCGCTCCTTCACGCTACGGCTCCTTACTTTCGAATGATCAAAGTGAACGCAAACATGAATGTCTCAAAGAAAGAGCAGCTAGATGAAGAAGAGCTACTTGCACAAATGAACACACTTCTCTTCGCGGGACACGTAAGATATTCACGAACTCGTTGCTATATTTATTCATTTCTTCTTTGTCAAGGAATCCACTGGAAACGCGCTCGCCCGTATACTGTGGTGCCTTTCCCTTCATCTAGAAGAGCAGGAGAAGCTCCGTCGAGAGATCACAGATGCACGTCGCACGCACGGAAAGCTAGACTACGATAAACTGGTGACATTGCGTGAGCGCTGCACGGTTACGAATCATGGGATGTGGAACTTATTCTTCATAATCGCATAGCCTATCTTGACGCTGTATGCAGGGAAACATTACGAGTGTAAGTTAACAATATCGAGGAAGACAAACGCTTATTTAAATCCGCGATATCCTAGCTGGGCACCGACAACGGTGATTCAAAGAACGTGAGCGAAACAGCGCCTGTATTTCTGTCGCATTGAATATAGGGACCTCCAGAGCCCGAGCAGACGTTGTCTTGCCACTCATGTTTCCGGTTACGCTTACCAACGGGCAAATCATCACCGAGCTTCCTGTACGAGAGAACCAGACAGTCATCATCGGCATCGCGGCCGTGAACCGGTCTCAGATTATTTGGGGCACAGACGCTGACGAATGGCGTCCCGAGCGCTGGTTGGAGCCGTTACCGGACAGCGTCGTCAACGCCAAGATACCTGGAGTCTATTCGCATTTGTGAGCTCCCTTGTTTCATACCATATCATAAACTTATGGATAAGTGCAGACTTACCTTCGCAGGAGGGGGCCGCGCATGCATGTACGCCGCTGTGAGCTTCATAACTCAAAAACATACCACTCACGCTTTTCATCGCAGAGGATTCAAATTTGCGGAACTTGAGATCAGTAAGTGCACAATGTGGTCGAATTAATCCAGTTAATCCAGCCCGTATGGCAACAGAAACGGTTCTATCCGTCCTGCTGGAACATTTTTGCTTCACACCCGACGCAGCGCAAATTGACTGGCGTATCGGCATTGGTCAAACACCCTATGTGAAAGGGGTCGCAAGGGCATCGCCGCAAATGCCGCTTAGCGTTTCTTTGGTCTCATCGGGTTCGGCATGATGTGCTCCTCAGATATAATACTTGTCGTTGACAAGTGAGATCATAGTACCAGCGCCGCCATACTTGCATGAAGACGTGGTCGCGGGCGCGTAGGAATTCATCTTCTGGGTCGGGCATACAGCTGTAGGCCATTAAATCTCGAATAGGATCCAAGCTTGTATGTATAGATTCTGGACTGGATGAGCGATATTCATGAAGAACGAGCAAGAGGCTATTGAGACCATTTACGAAAGTCCGATACTGCCGACCGGCAGTCCCACGCATAGGAGCCCGTTGTTATATCAATACGATGCGAAAAAAGTCGATGATCTCGAGACGCGTCCTAACGAACATGGAGCAACGAACGTCCAAGACCTCAGGCTGGTATTGCTCTGATAAAAAGAGGATAACAATACGTAAAGCGACAAACGGAGCAAGATACGTCAACTTGAGTTCGAACTGTGTACAAGTCTCGTAAAGACACCTCTCAGATACTAAATCCCATCCAGTCTTACATACTCTGAACCGCCAGCTACAAGAAAAAGTGTGTCGAGATCCTCGTGAGACATCGTCCAAGAACCCATGATATTCAGGTAAATGGGCAGTCTCGGCCTGTTGTCCCCGACGACACGGGCCACACACCTCTTGATGATAAGGAACTGTAGTTCGCGAATGGCACCCTGGGATGGTTCGCCCTCCTCTTCCAGGTCCATATCTATGCACCGCAGCTTCGGAAGCAGTTCAGGACCTGATGTGGGGGCAACAAGAAGAGGTATGACGGTTTCGAAGGCAAGGCGAGTCGGAAGCTCCAGTACTGTCGTGGACGAACACTTCTCGAGGAGGCGTCTGAGGGTAGCCGGATCTGTGTGGTCCGAAACGAGCCACATCACCAGCCGTTGCACGCTGTCCGTAGACATCTCGCGGATAACTCGGCTGAGTATGAAGTCCCAGGCATGGGGGACGGTCAAACGCAAGCCCGGGGGGTAAGGTCCGTCCGGCGCATATGCCGTGAGCACAAACGTGTTGTCGTCGTTTTCGTGGTAAATTAATCTCCATACGGGCTCGCCGTCGTCTCGAAAGGTCCAATGATTCTTGAGGAATTGTATCAAGGAAGAGACTGAGCATGATTGCGTTGAAAGCTGGAGCGTGAGCGATAGTGCGGCAGTGAATGGAACCCGAAGATAGGACAACAGACAGCAGATGTAAGGTCCAGATGCAGATAGGTCGAGCACTTCAAGGTGTTCCATCGCTACGACTTCGCAGGACATGCCTGGCGACTCGTTGCCCCACGGTTCCTCGGATGCTACGACGAGTTTTTTCAAACAAGGCATGGACGTAAGTGCAGTCGCGAGCGCTCCTGTAGACGGAAGAGAATCGGCTGGGATGAAGCGCAGTTCCAGACATGTGAGCTTCTCGGCAACGTGCTGGCAGAAGAGCAAGTCCCACTTGAGCGAAACGCAGGATAGGTGGAGATGGCGAAGCCGGGGAGCGAATGAGCCTAGGAAATCGTCGGGAAGTCGGGCTGATGATCGCTGCTCCACATGGAGAAGCGTTCGAGAAGCGGGCTTGCCTGAGAGAGACTCGCCGAATTCTTCATGACGAGGTTACGTGTCGTGGACAGATCAAACGTCTGTATGCGATCCAAATGGGAAAGAACAGCAGAGATCGCGTCTTGGGAGGTGTTACGCCCGTTCACGGAGAAGGATATAGGAGTTTTTTGTGACCGCAAAAGGAAGGTGCGGGTCAACTCCACGGTCTTGCGAGGAACGGCGGACCAGAGGGCGGGAGTGTTGAGCGCGACTTGTCGCCAGCATTGACATACTTGAGAGTACGCGTAGCCGGAGGGGAATTTATCCTCGTATTGAGCTGACTTGTACAAGCGAAAAATGCGAGACACGACGTCGGAGGGCAAACGGAAGACAGGCTCCAGTTCGTTGCGGCGCTGGCGCAGAGATCTGATACGCGAAACCAGTGCGTTTACTTCTCGAAGAAGGTCCTGAACCTCGCAGTCAATGCGATCGCGTTCGTCACTGAATGCACGCCTGTAGTGGACGTCTTGTAGGGGAGTGGTCGTGCTAAAGCTGTTCATCTGGTAAGATACGCGTGTAATATCCTCGCATATAGGCCACAAAATAATGCTCACTATTCTTTAATCATCTTGCCTGAGTCTCGTGCAGATCCTGTAAGTATGTCCAACAGAGCAAATGCGAAGTATGGATGGGACAGGGCGAAAAAAAAAACGGAAGACGACGAAGACCGCGGGGACTGGGGAACCGTACGAAAGCGTACGACATTCTTCCTCCTCATGTAAGGCCTGAACACGGCGTTCGCGCAGTGACAATGAAATAGTTAAGTACTGTAGGGTCAAAACGCTTGAGCGTTGAACAGACGTCCGTCGGGCCACGCTAGGAATATTCGTCCTTGCCTGATTTTGGATCCGCTGCTCTTGTCCTGGTGTTGAAGATCGTATATATGTAACACATATATCCTGCTTACTGCTCACACTTATAGAAGCACTGACAGCCTTGTGTGCATTTCTGTGGCCCGTCATGCCATGGGCCATCACAAGTCCTGCATTTCCGTCCCGCCGAAGACGAACCTTCCCGTTCAGCTGCGCATCAGCAAGAACGTAAAGGTCTTTCGATATACTTACCGCAGCCACCGTGGCCTACAGGGTTTTTTCGTCGCTCCACTCTTGAGATTATGAATAAAGTGCGGATTCATTCACACGCCAAAGTGAGTTGCGATTCTGGCACTTTTCGATATCATTAGGAACAGTTTGAGTCTGACGATGCGGTCCAAAGTACCCGCTCACAGTTCAAGTTGGCAAACTCGATGCGTTGGGTCACCGGTCATGGCTCTCAGTCAAATTCATATGATGACATCGCCGGACGCAATCTTCCGTCCCTCTGTTCCGATGATCTGGATGCCGATCTATCGGCATAAATCCGCTGCTATCGGAGCGGTTTCTGATTGGCCAGGATGACCCCTCCCGACTCCCGAGCGGCAACCTTCCCAGATGAACGCATCGCTGCCTCAAAAGAGAGCCAGAATCCAACATGCCGCACCGTTTCTGGATCAGCCGCGCGCTGCTCCTTTGCATCGTACCACTTTCTGCCCTTGAGATCTGAGACGACACTTTTTTCACGACGGAATAACTGGTGGTCGATAACAAGGGAACGCAGGTCCCTGAACGATACGGTCCTCTCATGACTTCGACAAAGCCTGATGCGGCATCATCTTCGAGCTCGGGCTCGACCACTTCTACGTCACGCATGCCGCCCTCCTCCACTATGTACGACCGAATAATGCGCGACCTGGGCCAGCAAGAAACAGCCAGCGGTTCACGGCCTGTGTCGGAGACGCCCACTCTACGGGACGAACCCCTACGAAGTGACGTCAAGGACGCGACGCGAGAACTGGAGGACGAGGCGCTCGCGGACGGGATAGAGCCTGTTGGCGAGGGCGGCGGAGATGATCCAGACGACGACGATGCGCGGCGAGGTATGTTCCCTGCCCTATCCGTATGACGTGCCGGCCTAACCAACTTTCTTTTCCAGGAGGCGGAGTGATATCAGAGAAAGGGAAACGAGGAAGCGGGAGCGACGAAGAAGAGGGGGACATTATCGTGGACTGGGATGGCCCGGACGATCCTCATAACCCGCGAAAGTACGCGCCCTCTCCCCCCGCCTTCCGAATATATGCGCATATATTCATACCATTTTTACGCACAGTTGGACCTTTAGACGAAAATGGGCCGCGACGGTGATCGTGTCCGCCTTCACGTTCATCTCGCCCGTCTCGTCTTCCATGATCGCCCCAGCCGCGGGACAGGTAGCGGAGCAGTTCGGCATCACTAGCTCCGTCGTGCTCGCCATGTCGATAAGCGTGTTCGTTCTTGCATACGGTACGTCCTTTTCCCCAAGTCTATGTGCAAGAAAGCTTAGGACTCAACACCCACAGCTATCGGCCCACTGTTCCTCGGCCCACTATCCGAAATATACGGTCGAAGTCGTGTGCTACAGCTCGCCAATATATGGTATCTCGTCTGGGTACGCTCTCTCCCTTCCTTTCTCCCCTCCCGTCTCCACTGTCAGCTGATGCCTCCCTCTGCGATGACCAGAATCTTGTCTGCGGCTGGTCGACATCGACAGGCATGCTCATCGCCTTCCGGTTCCTCGCCGGCCTGGGCGGCAGCGCTCCGCTCTCGATTGGTGGCGGCGTGCTCGGCGACTGCTGGGACACGTCGCAGCGCGGACAGGCGATAGCCGTGTACTCGCTCGCACCGCTGCTCGGTCCCGTCGTCGGGCCCATCGCCGGCGCGTGGATCGCGGAGAAGAGCACGTGGAGATGGGTCGTAAGTCGCTTTCCTCTTTTCTTCATCTTCCAGTTGTCGGACAGGAATCCTGATAATATGCGCATATATTCCGTTAGTTTTGGTCGACTTCGATCATGGACGGTGCGATACAATGCTTAGGCTTGATCTATTTACAAGAAAGTCCGTGCGATACCATCCCACGATGATGCTGGTTATTCGCTGTTGCTGACGCATATACGCAGCGTACGTCCCGGTCCTCCTCGAACGGAAAGCGGCGAAGATCAGGAAAGAGATGTACGGCCACAGCAGCCAGAAGAAGCTCGACGCTGAGGACGCCGAGAAAGTCGGCCCTAAACGGCGGCGAGTACGGACCAAGTTCGAGGGTGTCGATCGCACGTACGTCTTTTTCTTCCCTTCCTTTGTTCCCCAGGTCTTTGACCTGACTTATCGTTGACGGATGTAGGTGGAAAGTGATCTTTCAGCGCGCGCTCACGCGTCCGTTCCTCCTCTTCGCGCGCGAACCGATCATCCAGCTTTTGGGCGTGTACATGGCCTTCATCTACGGCACGCTCTATCGTACGTCGCTCCGTTGCGTGCATTGTCGTTCATCCCTATTGATCGTCTTTTTCGCGATACCCAGTCTTCTTGACGACCATCCCCGACATCTTCCAAGGCATATACCACCAACGTGTCGGCATCGCGGGCTTGCACTACATCGCGCTCGGGGTCGGGCTCACCGGCGCGTCGCAGATCAACGCGCGCTTGCTGGACCGGATATACCTCTACTTCACGAATCGGAACGGGGGTAAAGGCCGACCGGAGTATCGCTTGCGTGAGTTTGGTGCTCCCGCACATATCTGTATGCGCGACTGCGATGAAGGGTCTGATCATCGTGGTCGTATCTGTAGCATCGATGGTGCCGGGAACGATCTTGCAGCCCATCGGGCTGTTTCTCACCGGATGGGCCGTTCAGGAGAGGTGGCATTGGATCGTGGCGGATGTTGGCATCGCGTTCGTCGGCGCCGGGCAGATCCTCAATTTCCAGAGTATACAGACGTACGTCATCGACGCCTTCACGTTGCACGCTGCCAGGTTCGTTCCTTCAACGTTTCGTCAGTGGGCCTCCTGGGCTAACCGACGACGTATAATTTGATAGCGCGCTCGCGGCCGTGTCGTGCCTCCGCTCGCTCGCCGGCTTCGGCTTCCCGCTCTTCGCGCCCGCGATGTACAAGGCGCTAGGGTACGGCAAGGGCGACTCGATCCTTGCCGCTGCCGCGATCGTCATCGGATGCCCCGCGTGAGTACTTGATTTCCTCGCTGTTTTTCGTTTCAGGACCGACGGTTGATGATGTATCGCAGGCCTTGGTTGTTCTGGATATATGGCGAGAGGATACGCAAGGCGAGCAAGTACGCTCGCGACGATTGAGCGAAGGGTGTACCTACACTATATGGAGTTGAAGGACTTTCGATGTTCTTTTTTTGTTGTGGAACAAACACGCCGACTGGATGGATGGCTATGTCATATTCAATCTTATAATGAAAACACATCCTGTATTTGTACGTGTTCAGACTCGAGGGATCCGAATCACTCGCGAGAAAACATACACTTAATCAGAAAGTGCGAGAAATGAGAATACCCCACAAAGTCGAGATGATGCTAAGACGCTCTCAATCGGATTCAAACTATCGTCGTCACCTCCGCTGACAGTTTGGCCCCCGCAAACGAGGTAGCACTAGGGATAACAACCACTTGCATGTCAGTATACACTAGGGAAAAGCCCAAGAGATGACAAGTACGGTTCGAACGCATCGCTTTCCAACTACGGTTATCACTTCTACAAGGTCTCGGCGACCGACTGCATTACAGATATAGTCTACCTTTGCGGACGAAGGCTCGTTGCAGCTTCGGTGACTGTCGCATCTGGTTAATACGCTCCTCAGGATAGGGTGTTCAGCACCGTTGCTGGCGAGAAAGAGATCCTGGACTATTATGATCCGAAAACTCGATCCGTCAACATCACAATACTAGATTACGTTGTCCGTACGCTACACTAGGCGTTCACTGGGCGGGCAATAGACCAACCCGGCTCCAGTACGCGAGCCAGCGATCGACATCCTCGGGCCCGAGCGATGGTAAAGTCCTGAGAAGGGGTGACACCGATTTTGCCTTCTCCATATCCATAAGCGTAATCGCCATTGCCTCGAATCCAGGGTGGTCCTCGCTGATGAGCGGGCTCTTCCCTACGGTCTGGAAGAACGGTAGGAGCCGCAGTGCAGGATTCTCGCGCATGTGCTCCACCTCCGACTTTGACGCGGATTTGAGGTCCGCCTCGAGCGCCTGAACCCAATCGGCGTAAGATACGAGCGGGACGCCTAGACGCTTGGCGGCGTGACCGATAATCTGGGACCAGGGAGCAGGGTGCGGATGTGCGAGGTGCAGGACGGGCGGGACGGTTTGCGCATCGGCGAGGGAGAAGTCGAGCATGGCCTTGGCGGCTGCGTCAAGCGGTATCCATGCAACGACCTGCAAATCAGTTAGCGCTTATCCTCATCCTCAAGCGTTGAAGCGATGACTACTTGCCGATTTCAGGTCGGGCAAGCACTTGACGACGGGCCCTGATGCAACTAACGAGGGGAGCCATTCCGCAGCGTTCCAATCACCGGTCGCTCCTCCGCTCATTTGGCCGACGCGAATCACGATGGTGCGCAGAGATGGCACAGCGGCGGATGCGTTCCCGAGGATTCGCTCGGAGGCCCACTTCGATTCGCTGTAACCATTGCCGACCGCGACCAAGGGATCTTCCACAACATCCTCTTTGGCTGGCTCCGGCAACTCCAGGTCTAGGGATAAATCAGTTTTGAATACTGCAGGCAAGGCAGATTAAGTGCTTACTTCGAAGGACGGAAACGCTGCTCGTGAACAGGATTGAGGGGGGCACGGAGCGAGGGGATGAAAGAGCAAAGTTGATGAAGCGTCGGACGATGAGCAATTGAGGCTCGAACGAGGAGAGCGACACGTTGAAATCCACGCGGTATGCTAAAGAGACAATCAGCACAGCGATTCATAATGATGATTGCGATTCTTTACCGTTGTGAATGATGGTCGTGGTTGATGATCGCATCTGAAACGTGCCATTAGATAAAGTCCGATGCAAAAGAGAAGTAGTTGACTCACCTCCTCGAAGACGTCTTTTTCAAGACCGAAATCCGGCAAAGTCATGTCGCACTCCAATATGCTAACCTTCTCAGAGTCGACCAGGCTCTCGTCCAAGTTGCGATCCTGCAGTCCGCGACGTTGACGGTCCTTGATGGATTCACCCTTCGACGAGCGCCTGTTGAGCGCGTACACCTTCCGAACGGCCAGCGACGCATACAGTTCTGCTAGCAGCGTCGATCCAAGACCACCAGTGGTACCGGTGAGGATGACCACCTGGCCTTCGTCAGGCGACGACGTCGCCGTGCCGGTGTGCGCAGGGAAGTCCTTGGAGTATTTCTCCACGAGCTCCGCCATCTCCTTCGCCTTGCGCACCCGCGCTGCCTGTTCGTCGACAGGCGAAGGAACGGCTTGCGTGACGAAGTTCGAGAGGGCTGTGATAGTCGGGTTTTGATACACCAGATCAAATGGGATACTACGGGCGGCGCTTGCGCCAACATCACGCAACGCGCGCGTGAGGGTATTCCTGATCCAAGTGGCTTGTAGACTGTGAATGTCTCGTCAGAATCGGGGAAGCATGGAGAGACGCGGTTTGCGTACCTGTCACACCCGTACTCGAAAAAATCGTCATCGTCATTCAGCTCTTGCTCGAGCACGCCTTGCACCATCTTCCTCACGAATTCCTTCGCGGTCGTCGCGTTCCATTCGGCTGGTAAGGGGATATCGCCCTGCGCGGACTCTTCGACCGATTTGTACAACGCCTCGATCTCCGGCTCGTAGTCCTTGATGATGGCATGCCGACGGGCAGTGGCCTTGCCCGTGAACGAGAAAGGTTTCGAGGGAGAAGCCACCAGGATCATTTCCTTAAACAACCGCGAATGCTGGGGCGCGAAGGCGTTCATGCGCTCCACGGTGGGCCAGATCGCAGAACGGAAGGCGGCAAGCTGCTGCTCGTTGGAAGGATCGAACGCGAACTCGGGCCGTGGCAAGACGATGACGCCGTTCTGGAAGCGACCGCGACCGAACATGACAGCATGCTGGATGTGAGGGTCTTGGCGAAGGATGTTCTCCAACGGACCCGGGTTTGTCTAGTGTGCCCGAGTTAGCAATCGGTGTGCTGAAGCTGCGCAATTCATACCTTCTCGCCGCTAGAGAGCATGATCTGGTCGTCCGTTCGGCCAACGACCTTCCAGAACCCCTTCTTCTGGGGATGAGGGGCAAGGAGATCATTGGTCGCGTACGCCTTGATGCCATTCCAGTCGGTGTTGAGGACGAGCGGGTGATGTGTTTCACAGTCCTGAAAGGGGGATTAAGCCCTGTAACATGGATTAAGAACAACCCGTGTTTACTTACGACCATGATTAATTCATAGGAACCATCGTCGTAAGGAAGGAATTCCGGATGTGTGGTGGGAAGGAATTCAAAGAAATCCCAATCCTTGCCGGGTGGGGCTGGGATACGACGGTCAGCCCGCGGTAATTGGTCGTGCAGGCGCGGAGAATACTCACCACAGATGATGGGGAGCTTCAGGCCACTTTCACTGGAGCCGTAGAGGTTGTAGATGTTCACGCCTTGCTCCGCAAGATGGTCTCCAATAACCTTGTCAAGCGGTCCCCCGCCGTACACCTGGGTCTGCGTGAGCGTTGTACTCGTGGTTATCGAACGTCAGGTACTCACGACGCCCTTCAGCTTCTTCATCACCGAAACTTTGTCGGCATCGCGTGCCCATGTCTGTATGCAAAGATAAGTCAATCCGTTCCCTCCCCCATATAGCAACATGGCTGACTTCGACGAATAGCGGCGCGCTGAAAAGGTACTGAGAACCCGTGATCATACACCCCTCCCACGTCGCCTCCGGGGTAACCGGTGCTGGAGGATGCTGAGGTTTCGCGGCGGAGAGGATCGTGCCACAGTAAACCTGCGATGACGTCAGCAGACCACCCAAGGATAAAACGATAAGCACGTACGGTGAACATGGTCGCAGAGATGCCCATAGCGTGGAACATAGGGATCGCATGGCAGCTGAGAATCTCACCACATAAGTCCTGTTTGGAGTGAACTACGGGGCGAAGATATCAGCGAAACTCGCATGTGTATATGAAGACGTACGGAAGGCATTCGCGCTGGTCAGCCAAGTGTCATGGGTCCAGCCCAGCGGCTTGGGAAACGCGGTGGAGCCTACAGTGTTCAACGTCATGTCCATGAAAGGGCAATGGTAATCCATGAACGCACCAGAGGAATGAATATAGAACGCGACATCATCGAGCCCGAACTTCCTTTGTGGTAGAGGATCCACAGGTTCATCGGTAAAGATGTCCTCAAAGACAGGCATGTCGGAGACGTAGGCGTCCCACTGCTTGGGTCCCGTTTCCACCATCTCAAGAGCCGAGTGCAGCACCGATTTTATGCCGTGTTCTCCCGAGGCGAGGACGTGTGCGACGTGCGTCTTCTGCAACAAATGCGCGACGGCGGCGGCGGAATTGCGGTGCGATATGTGGAAGACCACAAATCCGGCCCTTACGAGGCCGACCCAGGTGTGATAGTACGTGATGTTGTCTGAAATTATGGCAAGGGGCGTCAGAGGAGTCGTGCGGGACAAGTGCCTCGAGCTTACCGGTGTTGGCGAAAATACCAATGACGGGCGCGTTACCATCTTTAGCCTCCACTCCAAGCTGAGCAAGGCGGGTCTGGAGCAGGCGACCGGCGCGATGAATGGCGTGGACGGTTTGCTTGAAGGTGATTTCCGTTCGGTCTCTGGTAGTGCTGGCGTAGACGAACGTGGGGTGGTTAGGACTATGCTCGAGGTGCCAGTCGTACAGCTCCGGGACGGTCAGCGAGTTGTTGAGGGGCGGTTGAGAGAACGTCTTCGAGTTCAAACCGTGGGGCGACGTAACGTTGATAGCAACGGGCATGACAGAGATTATTCTCGGCGGGAGTGATTCGTTTGGTAGACAGGTAGTGCAGTTGCTTCGTCCGTCGACCGAAGGGCTTTTAAAGGTCGGCATTGCCGTCTATCAACGCAACGCATCGCACCCGAGCATGTTCTTGTTGCACCGTAACCGAGAGATATGTTTAGAAAAGACTGAGTCTGCTCAAGCCGAGAATGTTTCGGAGGGTGCATAGACAGCTCGGCCTTCAAGAAGCCCTCGGCGATAGATGGGATTGATGCTAGGACACCGTTCACGACGGTGAAAGATGGAGATTACGCCTAATGAAGACGGTGGTACTTTGCTGATTATGACGCGATGGAGATCGTATCATGATCCCCTCGGGTCGGAAGTATAACCACTCGTGGGTGCTTCTACGTCGGAGCAAGAATGCTAGCTGGCGGATCGTGTGCGGTGTCGTAATTGCGACATGCCCGCAGTGTTCTTGAGATTGCCTTGGAATGTTCCTGGGCGTTCGAGCGCATCTACGCCGGGTGCAGTAGTGGTGCCACTGCTGCCAATGGTGCGGAAGTATTCAAAATGTTTACCGCGACGCTCGGACTGGGCGGAACAAGGTGCGGGAATCGCGGAAGCCGACGCCGAATGGCAGATACGGAAGCATGCGGACGGAGTCGTGCATGAATCGTCCGGCTGATTGCCGCAGGTCCTCAAATTCTTCCTATGGAAAGCAAGAGTGAGCAGCTCATTTGCCGAGTTCATTTGGCTAAGCGAGGGCTGTGCTGTGGCTGGGACCCCAGATACCGGCTATTTCAATGCGTATACTGCAGTTATCAGTGTACATACAGCATGGATTCAATGCCATCCCAAATTAAGAGTGTGCTCTTACTTCGCCTCAGACTGACTGTATCGTTCATATTGCATACACGCCCGGAACGCTCCTCAAGCCTATGCCCCTATTTGTATTTTCCCACACTTAGTCGATTTTTTTGTCCTCCGTCCTCGACGCAGGACAAAACTCCAACAATTTTCCCACGTATCACGTGATCTCAGCTTGTCGTTTTCTTGTTTTGTGCAACAGAGGCATAACAG